CCGGACAGGACCCGGCCACGCTCTGGTGAGAAGCCAATCACGCGCTTCCCAATGACCACTTTGTGAAGAGACAAAGAATCGTTTCCTCCCTGTAATTTTCTGCATGGAGCTCTCTCTACTGTCCCCCCGGCCACTTCCCTCTGACCTCGGAGGCGGCCCCGCACCCCGGCCACATGGCCCTGTCTCTTCCCCTGCACAATGAGCCGCTGTTCTGGAGCTTGTCACCAAAGAGTGGTGCCTGTCCTTCGTGGTCTGGAAGGAAGCACCTGGTCTGGGTGAATTTTCGGAAGGACCCCCGCCTGGGCCTGGGGCCTCACCAGCAAGGCTGCGCGGGCCTCCACCCGGGCCAAGCGTTTGCCGGGAAAAGCATGAACTCACAGCGTGGGCCCTGCAGGCCTTCTCTCTTCTACCCTACAATTGCTCCTTGGCCTTGGGAGGGCCGTGTGGCCGGTGGAAGAAGCCCTTGGGAACCAAATTTGAGTTTAAAGCCCAGCTTGTGGCTTATTTGACCAATAACAAGTAAACTTTTCCTCTTTGAGTCTCAGTCTTATCTTTAAAGTGGGGATAATAGAACCTCCGTGGGACCACTCAGCACGAAATGGGCTCTCACAAAATGGAAGCTTTTATTAGCCATCTCTATGACCTCTATGAGATTTGTGGGATTATTAGACATTTGACATTCTTTCCAGAATCCACACCAGTGGGAAGGTTGGCTGTGCTTCTGGTATCTCTGTGCCTTCTCCAATGGCTAGAATCTGGGAAACCTGTCCTTGGCCACTTCCAAACCAAACTCATAATCACAGGCTGATTTTAACCCATTAACCTATTCCAAAGGAGGACCTCTTTGTAGTTAACATAATACACTGATTGGGTATGTGAAAATAATATCGGGATTACATGATATGAAAGAAAATATTTGAGGGGCAGTCGGTTGAGCATCTGACTTCAGCTCAGGTCACGATCTTGGGGTCCTGGGATCAAGGCCTGCCTCCATCTCTGTGCTCAGCGGGGAGTTTGCTTGTCCCTCTCCCTCTGCCCCTCCTCCATGCTTGTGCACACGCATCTGCTGCCTCTCAACTAAATAAAATCTTAAAAAAAAAATATTTGAGTTCTAGTGAATGAAATTTAGTCTTTTAGGACAATATTTTCTTTCAATGGGAAATTTCATCTGATGAAATATCGAGAGAGTAGAGAGAACACTGGAATTTGCAAAACAAAAACAAAAACAAAACAAAAAACAGGCCTGATAAAAAGTCCTTGCTCTACATTATGGTAGTCAGGGGATCTTAGGCCTCAGTTTCCCCATCTCTAAAATGGGGGCAGGATGGGGTTTGAACTATTCCACGCCTAAGGATCTCACAGCTCTGACGTTTCCCTGGTCTGCAACTGTTGGAAGTCTAGTAAGCAGAAAGAATTCTAGAAGCTGCCCTGGGGGACCCCCCTGGCTGAGCAAGAACCAGGTCTCTGCAACCTTTCCGGGCTATGGAAGCCAGCTCAGAACCACCTTAAACACACGGTGCGAGAGGCCTGCCCCTCTCCCCCACTGTCTGCATCACGGTGCTGGCATAATTAACAGACAGGTTGCAAAGTGTATCTAGCATATCTAGCAGGTTTTAAAAAATGCCTCCCAAAGATTATAAAAGACTTTAATTAGAATTTCACAAAGGTAGAGTCTGAGGATTTGCTAATTGCCATTCCAGATTTTTTTTTCCAGGGTTCAGGGCAGCTTCAGAGATAGGAAAGAGCGAACAGTGTTTTAAGGCCACAGGACAATGTGACAACAGTGATAGATATGCTAATTTCTTCATTCACTCCACTTCACTTCTTTTATTCCTTCCAATTAAAGCAAATGCTACTGAAACTGTAATTAAGCTGGGGCTGGGCCCTGATTGCCTGCTGTTTTAATGAAACCCTATTGATTTTTCTTTTCTTTCTAATGGCCACACATGATGCTCGGTGGTCAAGCACGTGCCCTGCTACAATGCCCCCCAGCAGAACTGAATTTTGGCCTGGGAAAATGGCGGCCCGATGGAGAAGCTACTAGACGTGGCGGCAGTGGGGTGGAAGGCTCTCCCTGGTGAGGCCACGCTGTGTTGAAAACCCCCTCTATGATCATCCAGAAGAAATGAAATGCCTTGGGGAGGAATTCAGACGCCCTTTTATTCTAGTGCTGTTTCCATAAGGAGCAGCGTGGTAGTTAAACTCTAGTGGCTTACCTAAGCTGGATGTTAAAATCTGGGCAATTTGGAGCCCTGGAAATAGACGTTCTTGACAGATGTTCACAAACCAGAGGGCCGTTTTGGAGACGAAGTATCAGAAGAACATTTTGCTACTCTTTGGCATTAATTTGAGAATGAAGTTGTTTTTTTTTTTAAATGAAGCATCTCTCTGAAATTATTCTCCCACATACACCCCTACCCTGCCGTGAATATGGAGATTTAATGCCAATAAAATGAGGGGGAAGAGTATTGGCAATGGGGCATTTCAGTAGCTCAACAGATATTTAAGGTGCAAATTAATATTCTGATCTGAAAGTAGGGTTTTGGGTTTTGTGGGTGGTTTTCTGTATCTAGCAGTAGGGTTCCCTCTGTGGGACCTGGAAGGAAGCATGAATCCTCCAGAACCCTAAGGGGTCTGAGCAGAATTGTTGCTCAGCCTCCCTGGCCCTTATCAGAACCTCGGGGCTGCCATTCCCGGTTGGGGAATAGGAGGGACGGGAGACGGGACACCCATCCCAACAAACTGCATCTTCTCTTCCTCATTCTTCTCATGCTCCTTCTCTCCCTCTCCCCTGCCAAATTCTCATGGGTCTGTGAACTTCTTCCCATACTGGGGCGATTGGATGACATTCTTAGAATCTGAGTGGACACACTCTTGCTGTTGTGATAAAAACCTGCTGGAGAGGAGCGTCTGGGGGGCTCAGTCGGTAAGCGTCTGACTCTTGATTTCGGCTCAGGTTACGATCTCAGGATCGTTAGATCAAGCCCCTCATCCAGCTCTGCGCTCAGCGGGGAGTCTGCTTGAGATTCTCTCTCTCCCTCTCCCTCTGATGCCCTCCCCCCCCTTAAAAAAACCCAACACCTGCTGGATCACGAGACTTACACTCTCCCCAGCCTCGCCAAAACACTAGGGGTGGCATTATCATTATCAGCTCGGCATCCCTCCAATTCATCCACTGCCTCCCCTGTTGTACTTCATTGGATAGAAGAGGGGACCAGCCAAAGGGGATCAGGGCAATTACTAAAGTTATGTAGCCGAAGCTTGGAACGTGGGTCCAAAGCAGATTGCTCTCCAGGGAGGAAGAACAAGGATGAACCATGTCAGGATAATGTTGGTTCAAGTCTTGCCTTCATCATGGACCTGGGATACTGACTTGGCCCCGCCCCTTGTCCCTTGCAAGGCAGCCCATCTCTCCTCTCCCTGAGTAAGATGTCAACTCCCTGAGGGTAGGGTGGAGGGCAGGGTTTGTCCCCTTCAGCATGGCTGACATTTCCGGCCGGATGGTTCTTTGTCGTGGTGGCGGTAGGGGCCAGGGGCCAGGGGCTGTGCCACCGTGTACTCACTGTAGGATGTTTAGCGGCACCCCTGGCCTCAACCCACTGCGCGCCCGGGGAACCTCCGCAGCTGTGACAACCAAACATGTCCCCAGACATTGCAGGTGTCCTCTGGGGGAGAAAATGGCTCTTGCTTGAAAATCACTGGTCTGGGCATTTGTGTTTTGTTTGCTTGAAACATAGTATCAGTTTAAAATCTACACACCAAATGCTTTGTTTTGGTCTAATGGTTTATGTCATTGTTTATGATTATGTAACGATATTCTTGTTTTGAATAAAAATGAAAAGTCAGAATTCAGATTGAAAGACTAGACAAGAAGACCATATCGATATATATATATATTTTTTAAGACCCTAGAACCTTCTCCAAGGAAATTTTCAAGGAAGAGCATGGGCTGGGAGTCAGAAGACCCGCATGTGGTCTCAGTCTGCTCCTTGCTGGCTGGTATGTGGGCAAGTCCCAAGTTCCCCGAGCCATGAGTTTTCGTCATTAATGTGAGCAGGATGTTGTAGTGATTCATCTCCGAGGGTCCTGGTAGGATTGACATTCTTAATAATTGAACAGAAGCATAACGAGTAATACAAGTGCGGAATCAGGGAATTTCCAGTTATGGGCAAAATTCATGTCATCTGAGCAAGGCAAGGAGACAGAGAGAGAGAATAAGGGAGAGAACTGATGCGAGAAGCTGGCACCCAAAATTCACAAGAAATTGTGAATATTCCCTCAATAATCTGGCTTCAAATCATCCAGAGGTTTCCATGCAGACTCTTGGATGCCCATGTCTTTGTCTAAGGAAAGTCATATGGAAGATTGGATTCCTTTTACAGAGATTTGCTTTACCTTTATGTCAGGATGGTTAGAAAAAAAAAAAAAAGTGTTGCCTTGTGGCCGAGGACTGCTTGCATCCCTGCTGACACCGCTCACGGTCGGGGAGAAGTCTGTTCTGAGACGTTGCAGGATTCTAGAAGTAAGGAAGCAGATGGCACTTGCAGGGAGACTGCCAGAGCCAACCTCCTCAGAGAAGAGAGAGAGAAAATTTAGAATTGTTTGAAGAGCAAGGGTAAACTCTCTTAAAGCTGCTCTTCTTCCCAGGGCAGACCCACCCAAAGCAGAGCACTGACAGCTTCTTCTCCACTCCGAATGGACCAGTGGAAGAGAATGGCTTCTATTTGGGAAGGACCCGGCTTCCCGTGTGGGCAACAAAAAAAAGCCCTCCCTCCCCACTTCTTTGCCTTCAATTTATCTTTGAGGACTCACATCTATAGGGACAAGCCGTTTTTGAAACCCCGCAGAACCAATGACCTTCTTTTTACAGATAAAGAGGAAAGAAAGCCAGATTTTTTTTTAATTGGTTTTTTAGAAATTTTAAAAAATTGGTTTTTAAAAAATGACAGAGATGAAAGACCCCTTTTCTTGGTGTTACCTCTGACATCTTGCTTGTTTAGGACCGGAGAGAGGAAAAAACGGACCCCAGGAATGGAGCTGCAGGGACCCTGGAAAAAGGGGACACTATCACGCCACTGCCGAGTTCTGTCAACTGTCAAGTTAATTAGAACGAAATTAAAAACACATTTGCCAAGATGTTCCGCAGCCAAACCAGTTAAATAGAGATTTTAACAAAATTGAAAGCATATTATACTGAGATTTGTGGATCCTGGCCCGGTGAGTGAGTGCTGAAAGTGTGATAAAATAACAAAATTGCTGCCTAATAATCTATAGAATAATATTGTCAACTAATGGATTATAATAAAATAAAAGCTGTTATTAGGGTAAAACATTATAACAAAAATCCAACTTTATTTGCAGCACCTCCCCCTTAATGGTTGTGAGCATTTTGAAAGGTAATTTAAACAAGTACATTGTATCCTTATTGAAACTGCTTCATCTCGCTGGCTGCTGAAAATGGCTTTAACCATCTCTCTGAACAAAAGCACCCCTAATAAGACAACAAAAAGCCCAAAGCAATGGCCCAGCAGCGTTGCGCTCTGGCAAGGAGGAGCGGAGCCTCTAAACCAGCAGCTTTCTCCTTGCATGTAATTAGATGAATTAAAAGGACAAAGTGGTTAATGTAACTGTTGTCCGGGAGGGGGCCTAGCCCTTTCCATCCCATCCATTTCAGACAAGAGCCTGTGGCTTTTGCTTCAGCAATGAGGAGAAGAATGTTGGCGGTAGGGAAATTAACAAGCTTAATCTACGAGGAATCTGCTCTGAGTCACGGTCCGCATGTATCTCGAGCAACGAAAGGCTACTCATTCCTGCCTCCCTTTTATATGCCTAATAAAACTTACAATAAATTAACTGCATTTTAGTTTGCAGCCAGGCTCTGTTAATCAGGCACGAGGCGCCAGGTAGTCAAGTTACAAGGAGCCTTCAACTGGTGCATTTCAGTTATGCGGTAAGGAGGGTGGGAGCTCCTCTAATTAGCCTTCCTTCCGGTGTTGATGGGTCATCACTCCGGTCTCATGTTTTTTAGTCACGGGGTGGTGAGAAGGGAGGTCTACCTTATCCATCCAGGTCACTCGACTGAGGGGAGGTGGGACGCGTTCTTGGGAGAAAATCTTTCTTAGACAAATTGATTCTCCATTTATAGTTCTCCATAGAATGATCCACAGAATGGATCCCATGAAGTTTCCTTGATCACTGTACACATTGTTTTTTTTCCATGAGCTACTCCAGTTCTTCACACTCACCTATCGGGAATGCTACCATCAGGGGAATATCTCATAGTAAAAAGCAAAACGAATTCTCGTTCGGGCCTTTGGTTTCATTCTCTGTAGACCTGGGAAACCGATCCAGTTGGGTCCAGTGCCGGAGAGGCTGCAGACCCGTGAGAGGCTTTACTCCATTGCTATCTGCCATTTTGTACTCTTGGCCTAGCACTGACTCAGAACAGCAACTTGGAGCCTTCCTTGACCTATTGGCAAATTATGATTTTGTTTTATTATAAAAAATAGAAAGGGGAAAATTAAATTCATTAGCTCCAATTACTAAATGATTCATCTGGCTGGTTAATGAAGCTGCACATTATGCTAACAAGATAAAGGCAAAGAATAACATGTGGGATCAGTGGCTACAGGCAAGCTGTGCTCTGCTCCGTTGGAAACGCACAGCTGAGGAGTCTGTACCTTGAGATGGATGACATGACCTGGGGTTGCTGGCAGGGGAGGCTGAAGGGGAGAGACAGGAAGAAGGGGTGCTCTGTCTGCCTCTCCGGGAGATCTGAGGAGGCTGAGTCAGGGCTGACAACACTCTGGTGGTACTGGTGGGGGGGATCCTTCTCTTGCTTTCTGGGTGGGGAAGGCTAATGGAGACTTCACTGGAAGCCCCACGCTGCTAACAGAAATGGTGCCAGGCCATCCCAGGGAGGGTTGGGCTCAAGGCTCAAGGCCCCTTGAGGCTCTGGAGCTTCAATAACCTCCAGGTTGGGGATATAGGGTCAGTAGGAACAGAGAGACTGTGGAGAGAGTCCATGTTCTCTGTTCTCAGCCATTTCCTGGGCCATAGTTGAGCTTGGGCTCACAGCGGAGGTGAGGCTGGATCCTTGGAGCCAAACCGTATGGATTTCAATCCTGGTTCCTCTCAGCCTCAGCTCTGGGACCTCAGGCAGGCTTTTCCTCATCTGTAAAATGGACAGAACCATAGCACAAACCTTGTAGATTTAAGTATTAGTTTTTTGTTTTTTTTTTTTAAGGTAAGTATTGTTAGTAGTAGTTGTGGTCCTATGGCTGTCATCGCTCCCACCCCCCCCACCATGGGCCACTACTGCACCCCATACTTCCCCTCACCTTTGTCCTGATCACATCCATTGTTCATGTTTCTAGATGAGGGGGCCTCAGGCCACCCAGGGAGGCCTCAGAATACTGCTTATGGAAAAGGATTGCCAGATTTTTCCATTCACTTCCCCTGAGCAAACACATACATGGGTCACTGTTGAAGCTGTTGACTCCAGCAGGCCTGTCCTCTCACCGGACTTCACTATCTCCACTTTGCTTCTTGGAATTCTAGCTCCTACTCTCTGATTTCCCTGGGCACTCATCCCTAACTGGCTGCCAGAAGCAGGTGGGCCTCCAGCTGCTTTGCAAATGGCCATCAGATGACTCTGTCATTATTCCCACCGCTTGAACGGAGTCAATCTGATCCCCATTCTGTAAAAAACATTCATCAAATAGCAAGAATAACCCAATTTTCAAGGCAACCTATTTCTATGCTGCACAGCAAAAGAAACCCGGGATTTTGAGTTTGAATCCCAGCCCTCCTACGAGTTGTGTAACTTTGGCCAAATCCCTTCACCTCTTGGGGATTGGTGACAATAATGCGCCTTGCGGATGGTGGGGGAGGTTGTGAGTGAGGCTCTTTGGAAAGGGCGGAGCGTTCGATCACATGTCCACGTGTGCATGGGAGTCCTCTTCCTGGCCGTCTGCAGTGGTGGGAAAGTGGAGCATCTGTGCCGCCCATCAAGTTCCTGCTTCCGAGGAGCTGGGCTGGGTAACTGGGCCAGTAGGTTGAAGTGCATGTTGCCTGTTGGCACCATCACTTTGATGCTTCCTGCACCCGGCGTTTCTAGCCCGTTGCCTGGGCAGAGGAGTGATGCCCAGTGCAGCGTGCCTAGAGGTTCATCTTCTGCCCTTCACCCACGTAGATGTGTCATTGTCTCCTCCCCTCTCTGCAGATTAGCACCTGTATTACGGCTGTTGTCATCAGAATTGTCCTCATCTTGGTCATAATCATCTCAGCCTTTATCAGCCAGCTCCTGGTTTAAATAAAAAAAAGGCATCTTAACACTGGGAAGAGTGTGAGTCAGAGACACTCTGAGATAATTTGAGGTTTGCCCATCCTTTCCACCACCATCACTCTTGCTTACGACCCGGGCTCCAGGCGTTGCAAGACCAGGATGGTAATCCGGAGTCATAGTTTGTCCGGAGGCTGGGAAGCTCTGGACAAGTCTGAATGTTGCTAATAGTTGTGGCAATCTGGCTTCTGTGGGCATCAAATGTGTTTTTTCCAAAAGATTATAACTTTGCAAAATTATGTTAAACCAATGAGCAATGTGAATGGGCTTAGGGCCTCTTGTAAATGGTCTTTTCCTCAATATAATTTGATAGCAACATGTGCTTTGTCGGGTGGAAGCCTTTGTGTTACAGTGTCCCAGAAAGTCCATGGAAAAGGAAAGGAATGTGTGAACATTCAATTTTTTAAAAAGTAAAAATATTAAAAAGAAGCAGGAATAATATGTTGCTTTGGAGTTTGGGGTTTCGCTCTGGTTGTTTTTACTATTGTCTTCTTTTCTTTTCTTTTCTTTTCTTTTCTTTTCTTTTCTTTCTTTCTTTCTTTCTTTTTTTCTTCCTTTCTTTCTTTGTCTCTCTCTCTCTCTCTTTCCTTGATAACAACTGTGTCTAGTGTGGAGGATGGAGATGGGGCTGCCGCGGAAGCCTCGTGGGTGTTGGGAGAGGATATGGATGAGGACACCAGGGACAGTGCTTTTGTACATGCAGCTTCAGATGGATCTTGGTGACAGCTGGACAGGGCTGTCCACAGCTTGGGCACTCAGGCCAGACACAGAGCCTGGGAAGTCTACCGTAGTACACGAGTCAAGAAGAGCTTCGGGGACAAAGTGGGCAGTGGGTATGGGGCAGGGAGACAGGCAAGGGCAAGGCTGACTGGTCGGTGAGTCCCTGAGTGCAGAGGCTAGAGCACGAGTGAGTGAGACCTTGACCTCCTTGTGGTATGTCTACGAGCCTCAGCTTGCAGGTGTCTGACAAGGCCCTGGTGCCAGAATGGGGAGCCCAGGGACCATGGGAGGCCCTGATTCTGGGATACAGGAGAACATGCTGCATTCTTCTGCTTCCTGGCCGGAAAACAGGTCACCAAACCTTTCATCTCAGAGCCTGAGAGGGGAGGGGCAGGGGAGACCTCAGGCTCCAGACTAGTGCAGCCACGTAGCATAAAGCTAAAATCAGGACTGGTGGAGGGAGCCATCTTCAAATATGAACTTGGTGAATTTAACGTTCACAGATTTCAAAAACAGAGTAGAAGTGGCCATTTCTGATGGGAGGCCCTGCTGATGTGATGCATTAGGAGCAGGACGAGTCAGGAAGGCTCCGATTGCTCCATTCCACGGAGAAATGGCTCCTAACTTGGCTCCCAGTTAGAAAGCTCTCGAAGCTGGAAGGCTGACAGATGGAGGCGGGAGGGAGGCACAGGGAGTGAGTCAGCCATTCCCTAGGTGCTGGTGCGGCCTCCAGCTGGCTTCGTTTGGACTGATGTCATCCGTTTGTAGTTCTCGATGTTTTAAAAAAATTTGCTGTTCATCTGTGCTTAGAGATCTTTTAGCAATGTGCTTGTTGGGTTTGGAAGCATCCTCTGAGATCCTGAGTGATGCGTTTGGGGAAAGTTCTGGAAGCAGGCACTGGGTCACGGTGCCTTCCAGTTCCTCCCCCACTCACCTTCCGAAGACCCCGTTGGGCACCCAGCCGGCAACGCCCCGAAGCTGCCACAGCAGGTCACCTCTGGGCGCACCAGTCCTCCAAACTCCCTTGGCCTCACTGAATGCACCAGCTGGAAACACGAGCCACAAATATTCCAGAAGGATCTTGGGTACCAGGTGGGCACTGCTCTCTGTTCTTTAAATGCCACAGGGTAAGGAAGAAGCCACTACCCTTGGGCTTTCTGCTGCCACTGCCTGGACCACTTCATCAACTGTCAATTTATCCAGAGGCCTTTCTGATCACCTGCTCACAATGGCAGCCCTCCCTGCCCTCCCTCTTTCTTTAGTCTTCCCCAGGCTGCTATCCCCACCCGGCATCCTCTGTGTTCTCCCTGTGTACTTGTTCCCTGGCTGTCTCTTCTCACTGGAATGCATGCTCCGCGAGGGCCAGGCTCTCGGGCTGGCTCACTGCTGTCTTCCATGCTGTTGGCGTGCA